CAACATAATGCCATGAATGTATGGTCTGAACTCGATAAAGAAGCATATGAACAACTACATAATACATTACTTTACAAACCAACAAGAAGAGAACTAAAATCCAATGTCCAAACAAATGGTACCTTAAATCCAGACAGGAATAATTATGAACATAAAGATCAAATTTATCTACATTATACATTTGAAAATGGACCACTATTAGATTTTAAAAAAGAATATCGTCAAATATGGGAAAAATACTATGTTTATCCCGGATCACGTTTGAAAAATACACGACTCATTCTTGGTACAATATTAAATCGAACATTACAAAGTCTTTTGATTCATAAAAAGCCTAAACGAAATATGTTGAAGCAAATGCAAGCAACTACATAGGCAGATCGTGGAACAATAAACAAAAGATTTATTCATTGACGATTGTTTTTTTATTGAACAGATCACTTATAAGTATTCCTTTCTTGTGAAAACTGTAGTTCCACTGTTATATTGTAAACATAGGATTCTTTTGTCTTAATATTCGATCCAGCTATTTGAGAAGCATTGTTTTTCTACATGCTTATTATTCCGTCCCTTAGGTCGAATAGACACAACATGAGAATTTCTTTAACTGCTTATAATTAACACCATCATATGTAACAATTAATAAATGAACATCAACATTCTTCCAATTCATATTTCTTTGTATTTCTAGATTATTTTCTTCCTTTCAACAGGTTCACCATCAACATTGAAAGAATTCACTGTATTATATACTCTAGATATATACTTAACCATAATCCTTAGATAACTGCCAACTACCAAGACACAACATTTCAACTGCATCAACTTCAACCCAAAAACAGATACATCCACACTCAAAACACTGGCAACACAATGGCTCATAAACCATCCGAAAACAACACATCAAAAAAAAAACAAAGTAAGCACAAATCATGACAAACGAAAAATACTAAATCATTCGAAAAAACTGTGCGTAATGACATTAAATAAAAAGAACTATATGTTCCCAACTTTTTAACTACGTGATCATTAATACGATTAAATTTTACCGCCTACCAAACGTGTCTTGCTAGCTTTTGATTTGATTTTACTATTCAAAAAATCATATCTACTAACACACCCATATTAATGGGAGAATCTCTTCTATTTATTATTGGAAGTTATATTTTCTAACTTTCTAATAATTATACATTATGTCTTCTAATTGTTTTGAGTGTTCTTAATAACTCTTGAACTTAGTTGCACATAGTAGGAGAATTTACTTAATATCTTAAGCAATTGACAACTGACCAGTCTAGCTCTGGTCGAAACACGTGCCTTGCTAGCTTTTGATTTGATTTTATAATTCAAAAAATCATATCTACTAACACACCCACACCCACACCCACACCCACACCCCACCCTACTGAATTACTATCTACGTAAATGTAATATTAAGATACCACCCGATGAAGTCCCGCCAGGACAG